GATAGATCCAAAACCTGCTCTGCTGCTCCTGGGCTTGTGGATTTGAGGTTCAGGCAGAAGGACTGGCTGGAGCCCATCCCGTAGGCATTGCCTGAGCTGCCGGGGCGGGCAGTCTGGGAGGGAGGGGGCCCGTACACGCCTCATCTCTTTGTTCCTTGACAGTCCAGCCCAAGCAGCAGCGCAGGCTGCCTGCAGTAACCAGGTCTTGGCAGCCAGAGTGTGGATTCCCTCAGCAGAGGAGAGAGTCGTGGTCTTGGCTTGCTCTGCTAAGTGTTACCATATTTCTTCCAACTTCCATTTCCTCTGGGCTGAGTTTCAGCTCAGCTTTCTTCCTCCAGATGCTCGTATCTCACAGACATCTCGTTCCTTGGGATGAAGCTCGTTGAACCAGATGAGAAGACGGTGTGTATTCAAACACCCATGTCAACTCAGTGGCACTGGAGATTTAGTCCCAGATCTTGAGGAGGAGGAGCAGGGGGATTGCAGCACTTCACACGTCTCTGGACAGTAAAAATCACCTTCTGTTCCCTGCAGTCTGTCAAAAGGAAAATGAACTGATAGCACCCCATCCCCTTCAGCTGTGTCGTACGTGGGAAGAAGTGACGTGCTCCCTGCTGAAAAGCCCAGGTCAGGTCCCTTTTAGCTCTGGGAACTGCCTGTCCCCGGCTGTGAATCGCTCACAGGATTCACCGAAGGTGGTTAACAGATCCCTCACCCTTCGGTGTGAGCAGCATGGCAGGCAGCCTGGAGCATGCTAACACACAGGAATAATACTGTAAAACATTAGTGCCGAGCCCTGAACTCTGCGTGTCCTGGGTGGATGCTCAGTTCGGCTCCGAGAGACGCTGAGCTGCCCAAGCGCTCGCTTTCCCCACGGAAACTTCCCGCTCAAGGGCCAGCTCTGGGCTCCCTCCCTGTGTCCTCCCGAAGCCTGAGCTGGTCCCCGGGTTCAGAATGTGTTTGAGCCCGTGCGAAACCATGATAACTCAAAGAGCTTCAAAGCCGTGGTCACACAAATGGCTAATGCTTGCTATTCTGGACGTTAATTTCATAAAATTAATCTAACACATCTTGAGGGAAATTAGTGTGTGCAGATGCTGTCATTTATCACAATTATTTTAAAGGCCCTAATCTAGCACTTCACTGGATTCTTCACAGCCACTTGCATGGCAGGCGCTGCAGGAGACTCTGTGCCCGTGGCAGTGTCACACCTTTTCGCCCGGCCGGGCCACGAGCGGCTGGGGGGGCTCAGCCCCCCTTTCGCCCTGGGGAGAGGTGGCAGTGGCAGCACCGGGGAGGGGGAATGTCACCCCCCGTGTCACCATGGTGACCCGATGGCTGTGTCCGAGCAGCCCCTCTCTTTTCAGTACCAGGTCAGAGTTACCTGTGTTGTCTCTTGTGAAGGCAGGTGCCTTCAGTGCAGCTCTGGCGGCAGCTACAGCCGGAAATTTCTTTAAAACCCGGGCAGGGAACATGCTCCCTGTCCCACCGCAGTTTTCCAGGTTCCAACGATGCTGTTAGCCCAAATGGGGCAAAAACTGCTCAAATTTCCCATGACTGTTGAAGGAGAACAAGTTGAAAGCTAGCAAAATGTTTCTTTGTTAACCCTGCAGCACTTAATTTGAATTCTGACTTTTAGGGACAAAGAATGCTTATAACTAAATACGTCTTAAAAAGCTGTTGGTTTGAAAAAAGTGAAAGCACCAGCTATTCCTGAAAGAAAAAGTATTACAGACAGGAAGCAACTTCTATTTTGTGAACGTTTCATTTAGATGCATAAGCCTTCCTCAGTGATTTTAGGGGTTTTTGGTACGAGCCTCCTGCTTATGGCCACTTTTCCCGGCGTTTGACGCATTGGCGGAACGCTCCTCTGGAGCAAGCGGAGGGATGCTGTCGGGGGGTGCACGCTGAGGGCGGGGGGGTGTTTCTGGGAGGCTGGAGCAAGCAGGGGCTGGTGAGAAGAGGGAAGGTGGGGCCTGAGAGCACCGAGGGCTGTGCCGGAGCAGCCGCGGGGGGGCTGGCGACCAGGTTTTGCTGCTGGCGAGATCCAGCTGTGCTTTGTACCATCCGTGTGTGTTGCTTCTGGCCCGTCAGTCTCGGGGCCCATGGACTGAGCCACCGGGCGGTGATCTGGCACGTGCAGGGCTGTAAATGTGTCAGGGTGCAGTAGTCCTTGATTACCGTGGAAGGAAATAAAGGCATGATTTCACATGTATTCAGTCAGCACTGCCAATATCGTGCATAAATAATAAATTATCATACGATGTCATTTAATATAATTCTACTTCCAGTACAGGAGGCAGAGGGGGGGAAAAAAAAAAAGCTATATTCAAAAATTCAGTCAAACAGCTTGTTTCTTCAAAGGCACAAAGCACCTGAGAGTTCCCAGTGACTCCTCATGTTAGCAGAGATTTTCCTCCAGATAAAGAACTCATGATAATGAGCTGTGAGGCTGGATGGTTAAAACAATTATCCCCTAGAAATTCCCAGAGCTTTTTTCAACAAGTCAGAGCACTTAAAGCTGGCAGAAAAGAACGTTTGAACAATTTTTCATTGGCAAATATACTTTTGTTGAAACTGAAATGGTTTACAGGAACATGGCACACTTCATAAAATTTTTAGTGAAAGAATTTTGAAAGGAATCGGAAACAAATTGGGAAATTACCTTTCCGATTGGTTTTGGGATAGAATTTTGTGCTATCTAAAATGCTGTGTAGTGATCAAAATGCTTCGTTTCCATTTGAGAGTTTCCCTGACACAACTATTTTTACTATTTGGAACAAAATTTTGCCATGGAGGAATTCCTCTAAAGGCAAAAATTTTGCTTTCCTGCCTGCACTTCGTTGTTGAGCTGTCGTGCCGCCTGCCCTTCATCCACGCATTGAAGGAGTCTTGGCTCGGGGCTGTGAAGGCAGGCATGAGGTGAATGGCCGTTACGTGGTTTCCTGCTCTTGTGGAAAATAAAAAAATCTGCCTTGCTAGTATGTTTTTTATTACAAAAATGAAAAAAATCCAGGAGAGACTTTAAAACCAACTGATGTTGCTGGTTTATGTTTCTGTCCAGGGGAGCACGTGAGCGCGGCCGTGACATTAAGCTGGTCGGTGGTCCCGTTCCCTGGGAATGTGGACCCCTACCCCGGGTCACTCCTCGGGGCTCGGGCGGGGTTACCACTCGTCACTTCCTCTTGGCCTGGCTTGTGCCAGTGTGGTGTTCGCGTTACCGGCAGGTTACCTGTGGAAATGAACGGTTTCTTTGGAAATCAGCATGAAGGTAGAGAGTCTAGAAGCAATAGTACAAAAATGAAACCCAACCCTGCGCTTCCAAGCTGTGTAATTGCAGAACAAGATGCTAACAGTCCTCAAAAACGTAGGCTTTCGCCTAAATGACATGCTTTGTGGGAGTAATTAATTTGTATTTAATTATAATCTAACTTGTGAAGAAACGGTCTGAAGAAGTTGTATCTTCAGCCCAAGTCTTTCAAGTTTGTTCTTTAAGATAAATTTCTTCTTTAGACTTGCAGCATTTTATATTTTTTATGATAACACCAACAGGAGACTCCTTAGCAAAAGTCACTGCTTACAATTTTTGCCTTTAAGGCTATCTCATAATTATGTATTTAACTAATCAACACTCCAGAACTTCCAGATGCAACAGATACAGGGTTTGTGAATGATTTCCCTATATACATCTTAATTTTCTAGCAGCAGCTGTAATTTATGGGATTCCACGTGGAATAGCAGGGCTAATGATGAGCAAATGTGTTTTTAAAGTTGTACTGGATGCAAACGCTGGTATATGGTGAAAGGGATGAAAACAGATGAGTTCTGAGCATCAGAGCTCTTGCCTCTTGTCCGTAAATGCTGCCAGATCCCAGGTCAGCAAAGCGGAGCTCCGGCGTCGGTCAGAGGGAAAACCCTGGCCCCGTTTTGCCAGCAGGGAAAAAGTCTCAGCAGTGGGTTTTCTTTTAGTCACGAGCCCCCAGATCATCAGAGCGAATGATCTGGACCCATGTGAGCTGTGTGGGTTTGTGGATGAGTAGCTGTGCATTGGGCTATCAGTCCGCTGGGACGTGGCTTGCTTTCTGGAGTTTTATCTTTGACGTTTCCCAAATTTTCCCCTCAAAGCAGATTTCCCTGTGGTACGTTTTGCAAATTCTCAGAGTCCAGAATAGGGCTTGGTCTGCGTGAAGTCCACTGTGGTACGAAGTATTGACCTCTATTGCCAATTATGAAGGCTTTTGTTTTCTTCAGTAGCCGGCCGCTGGAGAAATTCAGGTCTGAGTGAGCAGGAGTCATGTTGGTTTAACTCCAGTAAAGCAGTCATGTGTAACTAATACTGTATTATTAACACGGGGGGAAATTTTCAACTTTCAGCATCCTGACAAAAAAGCAGACAATAAAGATTGCTCGGTGACTTTTCCTAACCTTTGTAACATGTATTTTACTCACCGAGACCACTGCCTCTCCGCTCCACAGTCCCAGGCAGTGAAACAGAGTGGCTATGAGTACGCCATTCCCTGGGAAAATGCCTTTTTGCTCTCCTCAAGTCAACTCTCAGGAAAGACTAAGTTATTCTTAGTCGGTCGGCCCCCGACCCCTCAGGTGCAGAGCAGGTAAATGCGTTGGGTTGTTTGCCCCACAAAACCGATTCTTAGAAACCGCCAGTAGTTTTTAATAATTATTTTTTATTAACGAACGAGAAGAGCTCTCCAAATAGCTAAACAGAAAAGAAACCAGGTTTGAGGTGGTGTGTGTTCCTGAATATCTGTGTATCACATTTTAATGGTGATGGGAAAAGGGAGAAAAATGTTGATGGCATTTTCTTGGGCAGTTTTCCTCCTGCTCTGTTCAGAAGAGAAATACTGTGGAGGGTGTCGCAATTATGGCTGTTACTGTACTGCTTCGCTTACGTGAGGCATGTGGAAATAATTCTTGGTTCTAGTCAGTCTTCACACCATGGAGCAATGACTGTGTTCTCTCCTTGCCAGATGTCGACGAGTGGCAACTCGAGGAGGAACAAGAAGAAACAACTGGCAGGTGGCAAGAGGAGGAGATGATGTGGCAGGAGAAGAACAATTCGGGATTTTTAACAGAGTGGCTAACTTCTCGTGTGAAAGCAGCAGGTAACTCCTTAAAACCAACGCCTGTGAATTTTATTACTTTTCTTAATAGAAAACTAAAGTTTTTGCTCTGCTTGCCCTTCCTCAAGCACCTGTCCTAGCTGCTGAGTTCCCACTGGTTACACCGTGGCCTGCCAGGACGTGCTGATGGGGTGCCAAAGGGGCTGGGTGGGCTGCTGTGGGACCCCAGACCCCCTCTCCTGTCCCTGCTCATGGTGGGTGTGCTCTGGGCGGCTGCGGGGTCTCTCTGGAGACCTTTGGTGACCTGGGGAGGGGACCAGGGGTGCTGCGCTGGTGCTCCCCCTCATGGCTTGGCTGAACGGTGTTTCAGGCGAAGTGAATTTCAAAGGGATATTTGACAGAGGAAAGTACTTAACCTGGAGAGGTGAGGAGAACTCAGCGGGTGAAGGAGGGACTGGAGAGAGGAAAAAATAATTATGTGTGAGCACATATGTGGAATATTTTCCGAAGTGCTTTAAGCTGGGGAAATTTTTTCCTGAAGGGGCTGGTGCTAAATCAAAGCAAAGGAGGGATTGATAATTGTGGGATTAATTTGTGGACTCTTTTGAGAGCTGGCAAGATCTATTTGGAGATCTAAACTATGTATTTTATCAGCCCATTTTTCTGAAGAGCTAGACCTTGCTTGCAACTGTAAGTAATCTGTATTACAACTCCCAGTGAAACACGTTTCATACATCATTTTGGTTTGCTGTGTGACTTGAGCTAGTGCCTTGTGCTAAACTACCTTCCTCACAATCAGGTGATATGTTATTTATAGTCTAAAGTAACGAGTGATAGCTTGGGAATACACATTCTCTGAAAGCTCCCCGGGCAGGTTCGGCACACAGTTCCGCGGTGAGTTGGACCTTACCTCACCCTGCTCCGTCCCCCCTTTCTTGCCAGAGAGCGTTCGGGAACTGGTGGCCTGTCTGGGCTTGGGGACGGGAACGCGGCGATGCCCCGTGTGCCCCTCCCGCCTCGGTCCCGGTGCTGCCGTGTGTCTCCCGCAGGGTGGAGAGGAGGAATGAGCGCGGGGATTGCCGGGACCGGGTGCCCGTGGCAGGGCCGAGGGCGTGTGTGGCCGTGGCGTGGGCCAGCGTTTGTCTTTTCCAAGTTCATCTTCCCCGTGTGCGTTCTGCGCACGTGTTTTCTATGAGCTGCACGGACAGGCGTGTCACTTCAAAATTTATTTGATCTAAGAATTTATTTTTTTTCTTCCCACTGACAAGTCCTCCTGGCTGTGGTTTTCAATGGTGAAAAAAGCCAGCTGCAGCCCTGGAGAGCCTGGAAGAGTGAGACATCTCCGGTGTACTCCAGAATGGGAAAAAAATCGAGACGTCATATTTAAGGCCATGCATCATTCCTGGAAAATAAGCTTGCATATCTTACATGAGAATTGCATAATTACTTTCTACCTCTGCACAAGGCTAGTTCTTTTGCATCTCATAATACCAGGAGTTTTTAATAGACATCTTAAAGACTCCATTATCTTTGGCAGCATCCTGGCAGCTTGGCACGCAGCGCGCGCTCTAACAATGACACCAGCTCCCTTTTTCCCCCCTTAAACACCGAGAATACATGAAAATCTGGCAGAAGGCAGCGGTTTCCTCCTGGGTATGCCTCTGGCACCCGCTGCCCCGTGTGTGGGAGGCTGCTGGCACCCCGGGGGGAGCAATGCCGTGCCCCCTGGGTGTCTGGGTGCCCTGGGGTGCCCCTGCTGGGAGCAGGGAGAGGTGCGATAACCTCTGCATCGTGAGAACTGTGCATCGGCCAGAGACAAACCAAAGGTGGGTGGGGTGTGGACGTGACCAACAAACCCAGTCGCTGGGTCTCGTTAGGGTTTGGTGCATCATTTTGGCCTGCAGTTCGCTTTGTCTCTCTCTAGTATTTTTTGTGCCATACTGGAAGCCACTCCTTGTCTCGGATACATCCGTGTAGCTTGGTCCTGAAACCCGTGCAACATTCCTTCAGGGCAGCAGGGCAAAAAGTGAGATCTCAAAATGGAGTTTATGGGGAAAATCCTTCTCTTGGCAGTTTATTGATCTTGCCACTGTATTTGGCACTGGTGAGGCCGCCCCTCTCTGAGGGGGTTCAGTTTTGGGCCCTTCACCCCAAAAAGGCCATTGAATGACTCGAGCGTGGGCAGAGAGGGGCAACGGAGCTGGGGCAGGGTCTGGAGCACAGGTCTGCTGGGGAGCGGCTGGGGGAACTGGTGGTTGAATTTCCACAGCTGGTGGCTGTTGCTTTGTTTCTTTGCCGGGGCCAGTTCTGGTCCCGGAGGCCTGGTGGTGTCCTGGGAAGTGCCGGCGTTTGCATGAGCCTCCCTGGGCGCTGTGACCGCAGGGTGAACCCCTGGGAGCTCTGAATTGATCCCAAAGGGGCGTCCTGCAGGCCCCAGGGGGGCCGGGGCTGCGCAGGGGCTGCTGCCGGCGGGGGCAAACCCAGCGTGTCCAGGGAGCGGCTGGTGCCAGCCGGGGCATCGGTCACAGCCGCGGCCCCCAACTCCCCAGGCACAGAGCGGGCCAAATGCGTTGGGTTGTTTGCCCCACAAAACTGATTCTTAGAAACCGCCAGTAGTTTTTAATAATTATTTTTTATTAACGAGCAAGAAGAGCTCTCCAAATAGCTAAACAGAAAAGAAACCAGGTTTGAGGTGGTGTGCGTTCCTGAATATCTGTGTATCGCATTTTAATGGTGATGGGAAAAGGGAGAAAAATGTTGATGGCATTTTTGTGAAATTCAACCCGTTTATGACCATATGAAATTAAAGCTTTTATACACTTATAAAGAAGCTCCAAAGGGAACGAGTATGTTTTTCCTACTGAAGTCTGCTTAAAGCATATAACAAATCAGATTGCACAGCTCAATATTTCATATAAAACAATATGCTCTACCATTTTAATTTTCCTGTACAAAATTGTTTTTCATATGAATCCATGTTGCATTATTTTCCGATTCCAACTAAATTAGAACTATATAGATATAAATGATATACATTACATTTATTATACATAATCTAGGTAAATATGAACTAATTCATCAGCCATACCTCAGCTTTCATATAAATTATCTTCGTGGCATTTTTGCTGTTACATAAAGTCTTACAGTGGAAGGATTATTTGACTGTATTTGTAACTATTGCAGCATTAATTTAATTGCATTTCTACATAAGAATTAATATTGCTTCCTGATAAGATGTTTGGAAAGCAGGTAGGAAGCAGATATGACACGATTTAATTTTAAGTATTTTTAAATTTCTTTTAGGCAGCTGGACACTGCGGGCGATGCTGGACCCATCTTGTGGGTGGTGGTGGAGCTGCGACCTCCCCCCGGGGGGGTCAGAATCCTTGTGCCTTCCTCAGCCCCCACAACCCCGCCACGTTCATCCCACTGGTGATGCCGGTGCCAAGGGGATCCCCGGGGACCGTGGGGCCGGGTGAGTGCGAGGGGCTGGGGGAACGCCCTGTGGAGGGGCTCCCTGTTGGGAACATCCTATTTCCGAGGTGCTCAGTGGAGCCGGAGCCATCCCAGTGGGAGCTCCCTGCCCCAAAGGCGTTAGGGAATGGCAACGGGGGGCTGGGGGGGGGCTCTGGGGTGCTGAGCCCCGCTCCCCTGCTCCCCCGTGGTGCCAGGGCAGTGGCGTGTGACAGCATCTCATGAGCGAGCTGCCCAGAGCGGCCGGGGGCCGGGCTGTCATCTCCGTCACCAGGAAATCGGTCTTTTGGTGTAATTTTCCTCCAGTAATTAGTCTCTCTGTGATTTTTAGACTTTGTGTCATGGTGTGAATGCAACATGTTCGACAGCATACCTGCCGGGGAAAATCTCTTCTCTGATGGGTAAGGAAATATCATTTTTCATGAAAGACATCAGAAAAAATGAATGTGAAACTTCGGAACAGTTGGGGGCACGATGACTTTCAGTGACAGGGAGGGCTCTAGCTGGGGAAGTCGCCAAGTGTCAGACCACACTATCCTGCCTTTTCCTCGGCCGTCTGGGCTTCTGCACGGTGCTGCGTTAGCGCCTGGTCCTGGGTGCAGAGGGGCAGGAGACGTTTTCAAACCACCTGTGGCTGTACCAGGCACGGGAAAAAAGGGGCAGCTGAAAACTAGAGACAGCAGAAAAGTACTGCCCGAACGCAGGCCTCGCTTGTTTAAAGGATTTCATCACATGTTGGTACAAACCCCCATTTTTAGGTACCAAGCCCTCACTTTTAGGGTACAAGCCCTCAGTTTTAGAGGCCAAAACATTGATTCTAGGGATGAAAGCCTCATTTTTAGGGTACAAACCCTCAATTTTGGGGGCCAAAACTTTGAATCTAGTGTTGAAAGCCTCCTTTTTATGATCCAAACCCACCTTTTTTAGGGTACAAACCCTCACTTTTAGGGTACAAACTTTGATTCTAGGAACAAAAGCCTCGTTTTTAGGGTACAAACCCTCTTTTTTTAGGGTACAAACTCTCACTTTTAGGGGCCAAATCTTTGATTCTGATGTTGAAAGCCTCCTTTTTATGGTCCAAACCCTCAATTTTAGGTGCAGACCCCTCACTGTTATGGTACAGAACTTCAAATTTACGGGCCAAAACTTTGATTCTAGGGTTAAAAGCCTCCTTTTTGTGCTCCAAACCCTCTAGGAATGAAAATAAGGTAGTTGACTTTGGTGCAAATAATTGCAGTTAATTAAATTTAAGCTTGAGTATTGCATTGGGTCTTCATATTGTGGGTAAGTACATAGGGTTTGGGGTTTTTTTAATGTTGAGCCAACCTTACGGGAAAATGGTCATTTCCAGTATGCAGTGGAGCTGAGAAGGGGACAGGACAGAGCCCAGTGGAGCGCAGCAGGGCAGACAGCTCGAAGCAGACCACGCTTTTGGCACCGAGGAGCAGCCGTCGGCTCCAGAGCTGCTGCCGGGATGGAGTGGGGCCCACCGAGGGCTCTGCCCCAGAGCCGTGCCCAGGGGGATCCTGCCTGGAAAGAGCCTCTTCCCTGGGCCGCCTGCAGCGTGGCTGGAAATCATCTCGGAGTGCCACATCCATCACCCCCAAATTGTTCGGCAACCTCCAGGACAGCGTGAGCAGGCAGCAGCATCTGTTCCTCCCCACCGGGGCCGCGATGATGGACTGCCAAGGACGGGGCTCCCGCCGAACTTCTCGCCGCCTGCGAGCCAAGGTGAGATGGAGTCGATGCGCAAAATGGCCGCGCTGGGGGCCCGGGGGAGGGCGCGGGGCGGTGGGTGCAGGCCCCCGGAGCTGCTGCCCATCGCGGCTCGGCACAGCGCCCGCCCAAACCCACGAGGGTTCTCCGACCAGGCTGGTAGGGGCTGGCTGAAGGGCGGTTTAGAACGGAGGGGAAAATACGTGAGGTGCTCTTCACCTCCTTTTCCATACCCGCGCAGAGCTCGTCCGAGCAGCCAGAAACCGTCAGTTCCCCCGCAGAGCAGCTCTCGGGGGTGCAGGGAAGGAGAGGGGGTGCTGCAGGGCTGGGGGGCTAACGCATCCTGAATACAGGTGCCATCCTGCTTTCATAAAGGGATGTGGAATTAGATAATCTAGGATACTCTTGATTTAGTGGAAGTTTAAATACCATATGTGTTAAGGCTTGCAGGATACTATGTTATTTTTAACATCCACACAGTTGTAGGAATTGTAACTAAATATGTTTTCCAACAGGAATAACAGTACAGGCTTAGGTATTTTATGAATGGCAGCTGTGTTAAGAGTGATTCAATAAAAATATGTGCATGGGGCGATTAATCCAGGCAGGAATTTTGCCGGCGCTTGTGCAGGGTGTCTGGAGCAGAGTTAAAGTCCTGGGCGCTGGCGCTGCCCGAGCCCGCGTCTGGCCGCTCTCCGGAGCGAGCTGAGCTCAGCATGGCTTCCCCGAGGTGCTGGGGGAGCTGAGGGGGATGCTTCCACCGGGCCTGGGGCGGACGGTGTCCTCGCAGGAACCCGGGGGATCACCCGGCCTCCCGCTGCTGAGGGGAGGGTTGAGAAAGCCTTGTGACTCCTCCTGGTTCAATTGTGCCTTTTTTAGCAATAATTGGAGGAATTGGTTTTTACAGTTAGTTTGTCTCGGAAATTCCGCCTGCAGCATGTGAGAGGGACGGTAATGCAGACGGCAATAAATAACCGCACGGGGCAAGTAGGAGGCAGCGATATTAAGGCTAATAGCAGTGTGGCTCTTGAACCTGCACACATCACACTCGTTAGTCTGGTTAGGTATGAGCGTAAAAGAAAATATTACTGTGATTGTTGTTGCTGTTATTATGGTAATTTTTCCTCCCGTTTCCCTTTGGTGGGAAGCCCCAGGTGGCAGCTTCGCAGTGTGGTCGGCAGCCCAGGGTGGGGTGAGTTTCTGTGCCTCTGTGTCACAGCACAGGGTGGTCCCTGGCCCTGCAGACCCTGTCCCCAGGGCCCTGCCTGCCACCCCAGCCTGGCACTGGGGCAGGGCCCCCGCTCTGAGGCACCCCGAAAGCTGCAGGAGGGGATGGGAGAGGCTCTGCCCCACACGAGGGTCTTTCCCCCACCGGGACGGTGAGCACCCACAACATGAGTGCTAGTGGGATGGTGCTGGTGGTGGGCGAGGAGCTGCCTTGGCGATGCCAGCAACAATGCCCTGGAACCAGGCCCCCTCCCCACGAGCCCCCGGCCC